TGGATTGAAAACTGGTTAAAAGACAGGAAACAAAGGGTAGGAATAAATGGTAAATTTTCAGAATGGAGAGGGGTAACTAATGGTGTCCCCCAAGGGTCAGTCCTGAGACCAATCCTGTTCAACTTATTCATAAATGATCTGGAGAAAGGGGTAAGTAGTGATGAGGTAAAGTTTGCAGATGATACCAAACTATTTAGGATAGTCAACAGAAGCAGACTGTGAGGGACTCCAAAAAGATCTCACCAAACTGAGTGATTGGGCAACAAAATGCCAAATGAAATTTAATGTGGATAAGTGTAAAGTAATGCACACTGGGAAAAATAACCCCAAGTATACGTACAGTATGATGGGGGCTAATTTGGCTACGACAAATCAGGAAAGAGATCTTGGAGTTATCGTGGATAGTTCCTTGAAAACTTCCACACAACGTGCAGTGGCGGTCAAAAAGGAAAATAGGATGTTAAGAATTATTAAGAAAGGAATAGAAAATAAGACCCAGAATATCTTACTGCCCCTGTATAAAACTATGGTACGCCCACATCTTGAAGACTGTGTACAGATGTGGTCTCCTCACCTCAAAAAAGATATTTTGGCCTTGGAAAGGGTTCAGAAAAGGGCAACTAAAATGATTACGGGTTTGGAACAGGTCCCATATGAAGAGAGGATAAAGAGACTGGGACTTTTCAGCTTAGAAAAGAGGAGACTGAGGGGGGATGTGATAGAGGTCTATAAAATCATGAGTGGTGTGGAGAGGGTGAATAAAGAAAAGTTATTTATTAGTTCCCATAATATAAGGACTAGATGACACCAAATGAAGTTAGTGGGTAGTAGGTTTAAAACTAATAAAAGAAAGTCCTTCTTCACACAGCGTGTAGTCAACCTGTGGAACTCCTTGTCAGAGGAGGCTGTGAAGGCTAGGACTATAATAGAGTTTAAAGAGAAGCTGGATAAATTCATGGAGGTTAGGTCCATAAAAGGCTATTAGCCAGGGTTTGTCAGAGGCTGGAGAAGGATGGCAGGAGACAAATCGCTTGATCGTTGTCTTCGGTCCACCCTCTCTGGGGCACCTGGTGCTGGCCACTGTTGGCAGACAGGCTACTGAGCTAGATGGACCTTTGGTCTGACCCAGTACGGCCATTCTTATGTTCTTATGCCTTTTGCTTAGTGGCAACTTCGAGATAATACCAACTTCTTGCAGGAACTGAGAGTCTACTGACAAGTGTACTTCATTCCAACTGCTGAATCAAAACAATTGGTTTTAAGAAAACTATTGGTCAATTTCGCTTTTCACAGGTTTCTGACGATAAGAAGCACACACATTCCTGAAAGAGAGTCTGGCCAGCAAGATAAGTGTTTGGTATTCGTGAGTATCATCTAAGAGCAGAATAATCATGATTCCACTTCATGACAGGTAGACTCAAGAGATAAAACAGCTTGGGTATGTCTAGACTATATGCCTCTGCTAACGGAGGCATGTAAATTAGACTATCCGACATAGTCTATGAAGCAGGGATTTAAATAATCACCGCTTCATTAAAATAAAAATGGCAGCTGCGCTGTGCCGACAATCAGCTGAAGCCTTTGTTGACCGCTCCAGTAAACCTTGTTTCACAATGCTGCAGAAGCTGCAGACTGCTCTTTTACATATGAAGGAGAACAATTTTCTGGATTTGCTTCTCCTCTGTCATGGGAGATGTTATTTCCCCCTAAGAAAAAAACAGACCAGCGACAACTATCTATGCTCCATTTATAACCTTCTTGAAGTTATAAGCATGCAAAAATAAAAGATGCATTCACAGTCACAGAGGAAGAGTTCTCTAGAGACTGTCTGAATTTCTTGCGTCAGAGAAATTAGAAAGAGGACTGAAGAGCTGTTAGCCACACTGCCATGACAGAGTAAAATAAGACAGAACACTTATTCCCAGGTTCCCACACAGCTCCTGCCCCAGCGTCCCCTCCCCCCCGAGAGGTGTTGGTGGGTGGTGCCC